TAGCCGTAGCTCCTCAAGCACCTCGGCGATCACGTCGAGGCTGGCGAAGTGGAGTGGTCGGACGGCTGCGGGAGCTAGCGCCAACTCTCCCTCTGTTGTGATGATGAAGTCTAGGTCCCTAAAGCGCACGCGCACGCTCGGGACACAGCTAACGTTATGACTAGCCATCCGAGGCCTGGTGTGGATGTCGAGACGCGCAAAAGGCCCCTACCTGACACGCCAACTGTCGGTGTTTTGAGTTGCCACCAACAAGTAAATTTCTAATATTGCGCGTCTGGCTTGGATGGTGTGCTAAGAGGACATAAGATTTATACTGGTTCGGAAGGAATGTCCCTACGTCCAGTTCGTTGCTGCCGCTCGTGTTACTAGCACTGAAAGTTCGTAGTAGGGATTACAAATGGGCGAGAGAGGGATGGGTCCCAAGTCTCTGATGGAAAGGATGAATGGGTGCTGAGAGCTCAGTCGCTGCTCGGTTGTATGTTCGAGGTTCGATGAGTTGATCGGATTCAAGTCTCCTGTGGTGTGTTGTGATGCGTTGGTTTGATCAATTGTCCGATGCCCCGTAATGGGATGCCCTGCTTTCCCTTTTATAGGCCAAGAGAAAGCAGGGGTTACAACGGAGGGGAAAGAGGAGAATCAGAAGGGGAAGAAGTCCCCTAGGATCGCCGGGTCCTTCTTCTCTTCTGTGCGGGTCCCGCTGACCCTGTAGACATCAATAGGGACAACTTCATGTCATGGCCCTGTCCGTCACTGGCGCCATGTGCAGGCGTCAACTGTCGGTCATGGCGCCCCACTCCGTCCCGACGGACGTCGTGGTGAACTTACGTGCCCGTCAGTGTTAGTACGGGGGTTAGGCAAAATAACACCGGTACGCCCGACGTTGTTCCTGTTGTGAACCCTCAGGTATGGCCCATCGTGGTCACGGGTTACATCGAGGCATGCCAGTCTCTTCCCTGACGTCAGAGCTTTGACCCAGGCCCATACGCTTGGACCTAGAGTAGTTGGCGGCCGTATGTGTCTCCGTTAGGCGAGACGGAGCCCCTGGCCTCGGGGTCAGGCAAGGCAGAGTTCCTCCCCTGAGGACGGGCGATGCGGAGCGCAAACCCAAAGGTCGGGCGAGACGGAGCCAGCCCTCAGGGGTCGGGCGAGGCGGAGCCTGTGGCCTCGGTGTCAGGCGAGACGGAGCCCGTCCCTAGAGGTCGGGCGAGGTGGAGCCAACCCACAGGGGTCGGGCAAGGCAGAGTCCACCCTCAGGGGTCGGGCAAGGTGGAGCCCGCGGCCTCGGTGTCGGGTGAGACGGAGCCCGCCCCCAGATGTCGGGCGATGCGGAGCCAACCCTTAGGGGTCGGGCGAGGCGGAGTCCGCCCTCTGGGGTCAAGCGAGGCGGAGCCCGCGGCCTCGGTGTCGGGCGAGGCGGAGCCCACCCTCGGTGGTCGGGCGATGTAGAGCCCGCGGCCTGGGTGGTCGGGCGAGGCAGAGTCCGCGACCTCGGTGTCGGGCGAGACGGAGCCCACCCCCAGAGGTCGGGCGAGGCGGAGTCCGCCCTCAGGGGTCGGACGAGGCGGAGCCTGCGGCCACGGTGTCGGGCGAGGCAGAGCCAACCCTCAGGGGTCGGGTGATGCGGAGCCCGCGGCCTTGGTGTCTGGCGAGGCGGAGCCTACGGTCTCGGTGTCGGACGAGGCGGAGCCAACCCCAGAGGTCGGGTGAGGCGGAGCTTGCGTACCTGGAGGTCGACAAGAGCTGTAGTCACGCTCTTGACCGCTCGGATGAATCAACGTTGATGTTTATTAACTCCTCTTCGAGTACCATAATATTGGTATCCGACACTTATGTCTAGTTCTAGTAATTAGTACCTAATATCCGATGTGAAAAAGACTAAACTTTACTCATCGGATTCAAACAGCCTAGGTACTCGTGTTACCCAAATGTTCAATCTGCAGTGTCTGTTCGAGTGACACACGTCCCACACGGTGGCACATGCTACAGGGGATGACGGTGGAGTGTCTTAGGCCCCGTTTAGATGCGAAAAGTTTTGGCTTTTGGTTACTGTAGCACTTCGTTTGTATTTGATAAAAATTGTTCAATTATGGACTATTTAGGCTTAAAAGATTCGTCTCGTCAATTACGGGTAAACTGTGTAATTAGTTATTCTTTTTACCTATATTTAATGCTCCATATATGTGCTGCAAGATTTAATGTGACGGAGAATCTTAAAATTTTTTGGATTTTGGGTAGGATGTAAACAGAGCCTTACTCGCTTCCGGTACATTTCCATTTTCGTAGGAGTATAGTACCTCTGTCGATGCAAGCAGAGGAAAATCAAAATACGTGCCTATCTTTAAATAGTGGCAGTACTCCGTACTATCTTCGGCTATTCAGTAGTCCATTTTGTATGTTTGACAGGAACTGCAGATGTACTGCCACCACCTACTACGTGGTAGGAGTACGTACATCTTTTAATGTGCAAAAATCTTGTAGGTAGTGGTATTTGCTTGGCACCGAAGACACCTTGCATTTCGTCCCGCGAAAAAAAGAAACCGAATGTACGAGAGCTCAAGCACTCATTTACTGAGTTACATGCTGTGAAGATTTTTATTTTACTCGAGGCACTTCCCTTTAGCCAGGCCTCGATTAGATTGCAAATTTTTGCAACCTGGACACTGTAGCACGTTTCGTTTGTATTTGACAAACTTTATCCGATCATAAATTAACTAGGCTTAAAAGATCCGTCTCGTGATTTACAACCAAACTGTGTAATTAGTTATTTTTTTACCTACATTTAATGCTCCATGCATGCGTCTAAAAATTAATGTGACAGAGAGAAAGTAAAAAAACTTGGAATTTGGAGGTGATCTAAACCAGGCACCAGGTTGCTATTCTCTTCTCCATTGTACTATTTTTGAACTAAATGTTTTCCTGATCTTAGTATTATCTTTCTATTCTATTTTCTATATATACTCGGCAGACGGCAGTTCCATGTTGTGCGATGTGACCACTAGCTAATATACCTATAATAAAAATGGAAAGCAAAACTGCAAAGGCACAGATGCACAAACTTGGCAATCTTATCGCCACTGGCAATCTTATCGCCACTCGATCGGATTTTTAGAAAAAGAAAAAGGGAATCTCATCAACGCGAAGCTAGGATACAATACGAGTAGTAGTTTCTTACCGCGTCTTCTGCGCTTTCCGCCTTTTGCTACTAGCATTTGCTCCGTTCCTCGTGCGCGTGGACATGGCGATTCTGCCGATGGCGTGATACGGACGATGACGAAACTTGCCATGCCCAGTCCAGGAGGATGGTGACGTCTCGTCGCCGTCTCGCAGACGCAGAAGCTGGAGCGCGGAATCCAACGACGGCTTCCCAACCGGCTTCGCTTGAACTGGGTCGGAACCTGCCCGGCTCGATTCCTTTTGGACCAAACAACGCGGATCTCAGCGTGGGCTACACGCTTCCAGATGGCGCGTCCACCAGTAATCCAGTTTCTACTATCGCGGCCATAGATGGCCAACGGGCCCACACGGCCCGGCCCAGCATGGGCCCATGCCAGCACAGCCCGATAGCCAACGGGCCGGCACGACACGCCGTGCCTCCCGGGCCGTGCCTCACAGGGCCACTGGCCTAGCCTTCGGACCAGGCACGACCCTATGGGTCGATTTTCGTGTCGGGCCGGCCCGCGAAGCATGACCAGAATCACGGGCTGTGTCAGCCCACGGTTAATGAATTAAAAATAATAAAAAAAATTCCCAAAGTCCACCGGCGAGCTCGACTGCTCCGCACGGCTCCACCGCCGCCGCCTGATGCATCCATGGATCCCGGCCCCTGCACTCACGCCGCCACCGGATCGACAGGAGAGGAGGCCCCGATCCTCGCCATGGCAGCTCGACCGGATCCATCGCCGAGGAGCGAGGCTGGTGGCGCCACCGGAGAGGCCCTCCGGCCTCCGCCGGATCCACGCTAAGACGCCGCTGCGCCGGGTCATGCCGCCACATGGCTGGCCGCGTCGTGCCTGAAGAACACCGGATCCGGGAGAGAATTTGGATCTGGGAGAGGCGCGACTGTTGCTCCTTGTCGCTCTGCAGCAGATGCCACCGCCTGGGCCGCCTTGGGCTCGTCGGATCTGAGGGAGAGGGTCGGGGGAGGGCGCCACTGTCGCTGGCTCACCGGATCTGAGGAAGAGGGTGCCACTGTGAGCTGGGCCGCCACGGATCTGAAGGAGGGAGGAAGAGGGTGGGGGAGGGTGGCGCCGCCGCCACTGGCTGTCTGGAGAGATGGAGGAGGAGTGGAGAGAGGAGGTCGCGAGGAGGGCGGCGGATCTTGGGGCAGAGAAAGCGGCGGAGGAGGTCAGGGGCGGAGAATGAGGGAGAGGCGAGGCGCGTGGTGCCGAGCGGCAAGTAGGAGAGGGAGTGTTTAGGGTTTTCTGTTTTCGTTTATATAATGGAGGGCGCGGGGAGGCGGCAGGCCGGGCTGTCAGCGGGCATCTGGTTATGTAGCAGGCCGTGCCGTGCCGGCCCACGTGCCTGGGGTAAGGACTAGGCACGGCTTGCTCTCGTTTATATGTGGGCCATGCGTTTTATTACTGTAGACAGTAGGCTACTGGTATATTATGTGTTTATGTGGGCTGGGCCAGTCTGCTGTTGGTGGGCGCATTCACGGCCTGCCACGGCGCGGGGGCGGCTGCGTTCCGCGACGCCATCGTCGTCTCGTTCCGATCCATGCGCAACCGCCAAAAACGCTGCGCCTCTAAAAGGTGAAGGAACGCGAAACAAACGGCGCAAGGCAAAAGAAAAATTGAGAAAAGAAAAATCGAGGTCGCGTGCCTGCCCGCTCTCGCGACGATTTCCATCTCTCCCTCCATTTTGCCCCCTCCCTCTTCTCTTCCTTCCTTCCTCCCTCCGCTTGCTGTCTCCTTGCCTTAGGGTTTCTCCAGCTCTGCGATCCGCCTCGCTCCCTCCCTCCCCGATTCCGCGGCCCCGATTCGCGCGATCTCCGCGCGGCCATGGTCTCCGGCGCGGCGCACAACCCGGACGGGGGCGGCGGCGCCCAGGCCACCCAGCGCCCGCCGCCGCCGCCCACGCAGGTGGGGGCCCGGACGCCCGTCGCCACGCCGCCGCCGGTCTCCGGCGGCGCCGCGCACTCCGCGTCTACTAGTGGGGGCAGCGCCGGCTCACCACCGTCCAGCCGCAGCGAGCAGCACGCCCCCGACGGTGCTGGCAAGGGTCCTGCCCTCGGGGCTGCGCCCGCGGCGGCGGCGGCGTCCACCCCGGCCAGCGATAGCACGTTCCTCCGCTTGAATAATCTCGACATCAACGGCGACGACGCGCCGTCGTCGCAGGCTCCTACGAGGTTGGTTTGTGGAAACTTGTGTCGGTCTGTGCAGCTGTATTTGCCCGTGCTTTGGTTGCTGCGCGGTTATGTTGGAGATAGGCATCGATACAGACATACAGTGTGTCGACCATGAGAAAGGTTGTCCTGGAGATACAGGAAACATACTGTGGGAGGTTGCTCATTCTGTGTCATGACGAACTGTTAGCTGTTATTATTTGGACGAAGCATGCCTGGTGAAGTGTCTTCTGTGGTCATTTTCATGTCTGCAAGTATGATTTTACTCAAAAGCATGTACTAGCTCCCGTCTTGTAGGTTTGGCTTCCTGATCGTGTCAGCCTTGCTAGCAGTGGCGGAGCTCGCGTTAAAAAATATGGAGTGCGCGCCGGGGGGGGGGGTGGGGTGCTATTTTTGCCTAATTATCAACACATGCACACAAGCTTGGATCCTCGGAGTGGCAGGCAGGGCCAACGGTCGATTGTGGGCATGTGTTGTGTGCGCTGCTGTAATTTGGTCCTTCCCAATCGGAAGCACAATAGGCAAGAGCAACAGGCCAGCAGCTAGGTTGTAGCATTGTTTAGGCCTTAGTTCAGGTACGCCTGGAATCACTGAAAAATATTTTGGACAAGGGTTTGGGGGGGTGGTGGCGGCATCGCCCAGGTTGGCTGAGCCGTAGCTCCGCCAGTGCTTGCTAGATAAGATGAACTTTTTAAATGGTGGACTGAATGCAATGTATTGTCTATTTGAAGTATGCACCCATGTTAAGCTGTTATATCAGCTATATGACTTGTATTGTTCTACAATCCTATACTGCATAAATTGAACCTAACAGTTAACAATGTACATTATATTTTTGCTAGCATTCATGTGGTTTGTCTTGTCTTATGATGTAGCTGTTTCTAGACAGGCTACACAGACTCTTGTGCAGACACAGTTAATTATTATAGTAAATAGGTTGAAAATTCATAGCAGGAGTTTCTACTTCTTAAGACTCTTTTGTATCCTTTCTTTTAGTTACTTATCTAAGCTTTTGGGGGCATTGTAAAACTGCAGCAAGAAGAAAAGGAGAGGCACACGGGCAGTGGGTCCTGATAAAGGTAACCGAGGACTGCGCCAGTTTAGTATGAAAGGTGAGGCTATTTTTTCCCCTTCCATGTTATACTTCTATATGACAGTTATCTTTGGAAAGTTAAGATAGGAGCATAGTGCAAATGTAAACATTTGGGCAGTTAAAGTATGCCATCTATGTTTCCATCACATCAGTGCATCCATTTCTTGATACATTTGAAGGCTACATGTATAGTGAATGGTACAGTAAAGCAGTGAATGCAAAATATCATAGGTGACTTAATGCGTGTTTCATTTGTTCCTTTGCAGTTTGTGAGAAAGTTGAAAGTAAAGGGAGAACAACATATAATGAGGTCAGTGCCTTTTCATTATATTATCCCATTTATTCAGTGTATTCTAGATCAGATTGGCTTGCTTTTCTTCTGATAAAAAAGCCTGCAAATTTGCATTGTTTCTTTTATTCCTTTGCATGTATTACGTCTATGCTCTACTTCGAAGATTTGATCCACTATTTGAAAGAGGAAGGAAGGTTGGATACACTGTAAAAGTAAAACCTAACGTCATTATCTGTACCAGGAAGATCTGACCATTTGATCATTAAACTGGCTTGTTCATATATGTTCATGCATACAAACTGTTAGACTTGTTTTCTGGTTTTACGTCAATTGTTCAATAGAGGGTCCCCTTAACATTACGCAAAGAGACACTAAAACTTGATGGCGTTATATACAGAGGACAAAAGTAGCCGATGATCATTGACCAGACTGCTTCATATCCATGCTGGCCCCTATGGTCTTGTAACATTATTTTCACTTTGAAAATGAGGATTTTAGTGCATTACTACTGTACATCGTTTTATCTACATGTTTTTTTGGCTTCGTTTTGTGAATAAAAAATCCTATAGGTTACTGTGTATAGTGATACTAAATTTTGGAATTCATATTTATCCTCTTCCTTTGACAGGTGGCAGATGAACTTGTTGCAGAGTTTACAGACCCCAATAATAATTTTGAGGCACCAGATCCTGATAACCCTAATGCGGTAAGAAATGTGGCTTCTCCTTGGCATGATTTTATTTATTTAATCTGATATGTGCTTGGTCCTCACTGTATGTTAACATGCAGCAACAATATGATGAGAAAAATATACGACGAAGAGTTTATGACGCTTTAAATGTTCTAATGGCTATGGACATTATATCTAAAGATAAAAAGGAGATCCAGTGGAAGGGCTTGCCGCGGACTAGTATAAGTGATATTGAAGAATTGAAGGTTCTTGTCACTCTTAACAATGCATTTTGACATTTGATTTGCTTATGCTATTTTTATCCACTGCTTTATCCTTTTTTACAGAAGGAGCTTGTGGGACTGAAAGGTAGGGTTGAGAAGAAAAGTGCTTACTTACAGGAGCTACAAGACCAAGTAAGGATATGACATCAGTTTCCTCTTCCCACCTCTGCTTCATACAGTTGTAACTTGTATATATTATATATATGTCACAACCCTTAGAGCAAAAGAGCTGATGGTATTGTATACTTTGTTTCATTGTGGCTTTACCACAACTAAAGTCTCAGTGGAGAACAAATACATACTCTTGTGTGCCATCCTTTATTTTCATCTGTAAACTGATTGCACAAATATTTTCTTTATTGTTTACACAGAAGCATAGTTGTCTCTTATGCTGCATATTTAGTGTAACCCAGTGTCTTTATTAGCATATGTTCTCCACGACTCCACATCATCATATCAAGGTCCACCACTCTGGCTTCTGTGCTGGTTTAGATTTGTAGAACACATAAGTTAATTGTCATATACAATTGTCACATTCAGTAAGCTGTAGCAGGTTGGCTCCTGGACCTGCTAGTTTTTGCGAAACCAATTGCCCTTGTAATCTGCCAGAAAAACGGTGAAATTCCATACTCTAATTTTACTGAAAACCTGGTGTGCCATCATCATTCCTAACCTTGTTTGTCAGTTGTCACAGTATTGGTTCACAGAAAACAATTGCAATAATTATTTCTTTATATTTTATGCTTGCTATTTCTTACAACTAGTATTTCTTATTTTCTTATCGCCTACCCAATTTGTGATCTTCATATCTGTGGGCTGTTTTTTTGGCATATCAAGTATGTAGGTCTGCAAAACCTGATTCAACGAAATGAGCAATTATATGGTTCAGGAAACACACCTTCTGGTGGAGTGGCTTTGCCATTTATCCTAGTCCAGGTGAATATGTTTTCAGTTCTATGTTCTGTTTCCTTTTGTATATAATGGACCGAATGGAAGTGAACTCTGCTTCTGCGCATGGTTTAGAGTTAAATGCCGGATATTTATTCTTTTGCTTGCAGACCCGACCTCATGCAACTGTGGAAGTTGAAATATCAGAAGATATGCAGTTGGTGCATTTTGACTTCAATAGGTGAGACTGGGAATGATACTCTTTTTTTGTCAAATGTGGCTATTACTTTGATTGATCTTTAGCTTGAAAGTTTGCTGGTGGGAACGTCGCATGTTCATATCTCATTTGTATGCTTGCTGTCAAGGGTTTGCAAATTGTGCAATGGGAGAACCATCATGTTCATTATTGTTAATGTGAATTATTTGCTTTAACTGTTGGCTATGTCTTAGAATAATTTTTGTGACATGCAGAATAGGCTCTAATTTTAACCAGAAGATTTTGCTAAACTAATTTTTAGGTTTGGCAATGATGCAACTTGTATCAATACAAATACCATTTGGTTCTCAGTGTAGAGTTGTTGCTACTTGCGCTTTTGTGTCTGTTTTGTATGAGAATGGTGTGCGGGTGCAAGTGCGCAACACTAGCTTAAACTGGACAAAGCACCCACCAGGATTCTGAATTAGAAAAGATAAACTTTGAACATCGTTTCAGTGATATCTCTGTGAATGAAATATGTCTAAATAGAATTTGTGCATATGCTTCTTAGATTGACTCAAGTTTTTGCTGTATTCTTTTCTAATTTGTATTCTGAAACTGCAGCACCCCATTTGAGCTGCATGATGACTCATATGTCCTAAAAGAAATGCGGTTCTGTGGAAGAGAACAACATGACTGTGCTCAAGAGTCGACATCAAATGGAGGTGAGAGCTCAAGCATGTCAAATATTTATTGGCAACAAGTACAGCATCTGGAGCGGCCAAATAATGGCACAGTTAGGTTACCAAGCTCACCGCCTATTCCAGGGATATTGAAAGGGCGTGTGAAGCATGAGCACTAACGCTTGGGTGTTGGTTCACTGGCCTTGTCGTCTGAGCAGTTTGTTTTATTACATTTCTTCGTTGTGTAAAGGGCCTGTAAATTATTAGGCAAGGGGGAGAGTAGCTTGATCTGATTTAGCTCTGCACCATATTTGGTAGAACGACGGGTGCCCTGAGTAAGTGTAACCATCCTTGAATCGGTTCCTTTAGTATGATTGAGAAAAGGTTTGACATGTGATTGTAGAGCATTGTAAATTAGTTGATGTCTATCTGGGTGAAATTTGAGCAGGTTGCGTGCTTCGTTCTGGGAACAAGCATCTTTTTTTTTTCTTGTTCCTTTTCCTTAATTCTCATATGATTATTAGAAGTTCAAATTTTATAAGGCGTACAGCTTGTGACTAGGCAAACTGTTAAGTTGAAATGCGATGGCTATAGACAGGCCTGGTTCTGGAATAGCTCTGGACGGTTGGATCCTTATTTAACGAACACAAGTTCTGGAATTCAATTTGCTCAGTCTTTAAATTTAGAATATATTGGAGCATCTCCAATAGTAAAAAAATAAAAATTATTCCAAAAATCTGGTTTTGCTACCTTTTCAATAACCATTTGGAAAGAAAAAAAAACTCTCACCAACAATTTTCGGACGAGCCTCCTAGCAGCGGTTGGCGGCGACGATCGAGTTAATAGAGTGTCGGGAAGAAAAAAAAAATCAGTGCCCATAGAGAGTAGTGGTTGTCTGTGTATGTCTGCACATGGATGTTTCCTTTTTTTTTTTCTAAACATGGATGGATTGGGATTTGGGAGCTGGGAGCCTGGGATAGAGAGCCTTTGTTTTTGTTCATGCTGCCAAAAAACCCCGGAGAACGTTCATGTAATTGTGTAATTGCTGCTAACGATTTGTTAGCTGTTGAGTAATGAGATTACACCTAGTTTCAAAAAAATAATTCAAGATTAATAATAACTTTACTAAAGGAAAAAGTCTAAGTTACTCCCCTCAAGTTTGGCATATGTCCAGATTACCCCCTAAACTTACATTTGGTTCAATTTACTCCCTCCAACTATTTCAGTTGGTCTAGTTTACCCCTTAACATGGTTTGCTATTTTTGTTTTTCCACGTATTAGTTGAGTCTTAATATCAACTTTTGTGATATGATAGAGAACATCATAAGTTATGTTAGAAAAATATATCTTAACTTTTTGCCACTATTTTGATAGCTTAGGAAATTTAATAATAAATTAACACGGGAGGTACAATATCGTATAAAATATAATGATGAAAAATTTATAGTGCATTTTTCTAATACAAAATACAATGTCCTCTATCACCTCACAAATTTTGAAACTAAAATATAATTTATACATAGAGAAACAAAAAAGAAAAATCTCTTTAAGGTGTTAGTTGGACCAACTTAAATAATTGGAGGGAGTAAATTGAACCAAAAGTTAGTTTGAAGGTTATTTGGACATAGGCCAAACTTGAAGAGAGTAATGTGGACTTTTTCCTTTACTAAACTTGTTGGAGGTGGCACTGAAGCGCGCGACGCCGCCACGGCGCGACCTTTTGCGCTACTTCCGCGGCCTGCTACAGCCCGTAGAAGGGTGGACTCGGTTGCCGTGGCCCATATATTCCTTTTTTATTTCTTTTTAAAATGTAATATAACTTCTTTTTGTATAATGCGTTTTTAGTTCGGTTTGCGCCACTGTTTTTCTTACCACATGAGATCTACGAGTCTAAATCTATGATACATATATTTACAAGTATTTTATAAAGTGACAATTAATGTTTTATATACAATGACTTACGTATTAAATATACTCCATCCGTTACAAATTATAAGTCGCTTTGACTATTTTGGTTCATCCATTTTGCTATATCTAGATGCATAGCAAAATGTACTAAAAAAGTTAAAACGACTTATAATTTGGAACATATGAAGTACATAGCAACTTCTGATGGTTGTGTAACTACACATAAGACAACAAGTCGTTACATTACTTGGTAAACAGTTTGTATATAACTTGGAGCAAATAAGGTGATCGGTATTGTAGTATGCATACTAATTAGGTTTTACTGTTCGCTCAGGTTGCTACTTTTCATAGTAGTCAAACATGGGCGTCATATATACTCATACATACCAATTAAAGTTGAATCATCCATTCTGACTAGGGTCAAAACATCCATGCCGATTAGGTTCGTAGCATCCATGTCGATTAGGGTCACGACACCCATGCATTAGGGTTGCAACATATATGTACTGACTAGGGCTTAGAGTTACGGGTTTGCCCTACTGTATGCTAATGTTGCTACTTTTTAGAATGTTTCAAAATAGATCCTGTATGCTCATGTATGATGATTAGGATTACAACATCAATACTAATTAGGAGTCGCAACAGGGGTTATGCATGACTATATGTGTCCCCCTAGATTGCGTCTTGTTGTTAGAGATCGCTATAGGAGTTGTGACTAAAGTTCGCCTTCACCCCCACCACACCTTTTTTTTATTAGTGGTTGTAGCAGGGGTTCTAGCTACTGTCCGCCGTCCCCACTCCCCACAATTTGTAGTTAATATATTGTGATTTAGAGTCGCTGCAATGGTGTGACTATGGTTGGTTCCTTCTCCTAGTTTCCAGCTTGTTCTCTGATCAGTGGTCACTACATGAGTTATGAATATAGTTTGTCCTTCCCTAACACCCAGTTCTTCATAGATTGTTCTAATTTAGGGTCGATGCAATGGTTGTGACTATGGTTTGTCCCACACCTAGTTCATAGCGATGTGTCGCGCGTTAACGCCGCCGCCCCCACTATTCCCTTTGCTATGAATAAAAACCCAGCGACATTCATGTGCATCCTCCTGTTGCTACATCAGCTGGGACGCGAACATCGATCGCTGTGAGAGTGCGCGGCCACGCCTTCGTCGTAGAGAAGGGGCTCGCGACATGGCGCCCCGCGAGACCACGATGGAAATCCTGCCTTTCTATTATTACACCGCGAGAGAGACAGCCGCTCGTCGCGTTCCAGCCGTGTCCACCGCTCCGCCTCTCTCGGAGGCCCCCAGGCTGACCGGCGGTATAAGCGTGGCCCGGCCGAGTCCTAGCATCGCACCGATCCGCCCCCCCCAATACTATTGCATGATGGACGCCAGTCTCCGCCTCGTCTTCCTCCTCCTCCTCGCGGCCGCGGCGTCCGCGCAGCTCTCGGCAGATTTCTACAAGGCGTCGTGCCCGGATGCCGAGAAGATCATCTTCGGCGTCGTCGAGAAGCGGTTCAAGGCGGACCCCGGCACCGCCGCCGGGCTCCTCCGCCTGGTCTTCCACGACTGCTTCGCAAACGTACGTGACAACGAACTTACTAGCAGTCGTCGTTGGTGGCAATGGCATGCATGCTTGCAGCGCGTGACTGGTTGCTGTGCGTGTCTCCGTCCAGGGCTGCGACGCGTCCATCTTGATCGACCCGATGTCGAACCAGGCCTCCGAGAAGGAGGCGGGCCCCAACATCTCCGTCAAGGGCTACGACGTGATCGAGGAGATCAAGACGGAGCTGGAGAAGAAGTGCCCAGGCGTGGTGTCGTGCGCGGACATCATCTCCGTGAGCGCCCGCGACTCGGTGAAGCTGACGGGCGGGCCTGAGTACGTGGTGCCCCTGGGGCGGCGCGACTCGCTCGTGTCCAACCGCGAGGACGCCGACAACCTGCCGGGCCCGGACATCGCGGTGCCAAAGCTCATCGACGAGTTCGCCAAGCAGGGCTTCAACATCGAGGAGATGACCGCGATGCTGGGCGGCGGCCACAGCATCGGCATCTGCAGGTGCTTCTTCATCGAGGCCGACGCCGCGCCCGTCGACCCGGAGTACAGGAAGAAGATCAGCGACGCCTGCGACGGCAAGGACTCGGGCTCCGTCCCCATGGACTCCACCTCGCCCAACGTCTTCGACGGCAGCTACTTTGGCCTGGTGCTGGAGAAGAAGATGCCGCTCACCATCGACCGCCTGATGGGGATGGACAAGAAGACGGAGCCCATAGTGAAGGCCATGTCAGACAAGACCACCGACTTCGTCCCCCTCTTCGCCAAGGCCATGGAGAAACTCAGCGTCATGAAGGTTCTCACGGGGAAGGACGGCGAGATCAGGAAGGTGTGCTCCGAGTTCAACAACCCTCAGAACAGCACCGGCAGCACGTCGGTGATACGGACCAGCTCCGTCAACGCCGACCAGATGGCCGGGCTGTCGCAGCCAGGGTCGTCGCCCAGGAAGGTGGGCCCTCCCGACGAGGTGGAAACACCCGCCATAGTAGCGAATGAGGCGGCCGCCAAGGTTCCCGGTGGTGTGGTCGTCAGCGTCGGAGGAGACCAGCAGCAGTCGCCCAACACGGTGGTGCCACCAAATGTGCAGCAGCCGCCCAACACGGTGGTGCCGCCAAACCTGCCGCAGCCGGGCGCCGAACCGTTAGGCCAGGAGAAGGTGGCGGATAGGCCCGGCCTGAAGCTCCGCGGCAGCGGCGAGCCTGTGAACCAGGTCCCGGTGGTGCCCGGCGGCGAGGATGCTGCCAGGCAGCAGGCGCTGGCAGCTCTGGAGGAGAAGAAGAAGAGGAACATGGCCAAACTCCGCGGCGCTGCCAAGGCCCATCAGTAGATGGATCATCGGAGTAGGCGTTCGGGGTGCCTGCCACTGCCAGTGCCGCCGTGCGCGTGCTGCAGCAGGGTGCATGCGGTGGTCAGGGGACAGGCACGCGCTGTTAGAAAATTAGGTATTTTCATGATCAATTTAATTCAAAAATATAACATCAACAGATTCGTGATAACATATATGTGCATATGTATATCTCTAACGAACGCTATAGCATGCAGCCATAATATACAGATGGATACAGTAAGAACGCAAAGTACGGTAATCACACAGATAAGATTGTATCCAGCGGAGGGTCCCGTGCCGAGGACATCGGAGGCTCCATTCGCACTAGTCGACATAGTGCGTTGCTCGAAGTCGTGGATCACACGATCGATGCGGGGACGGTGTTCGCAGATG